TTCTATTTAAAACTTTAATGTTCTCTCTCCTTTCCGCCGCCATCCTGGTTGCGTGTCGTTGACTGTGATCGCCATGTCTTCTCACAAGACTTTGAGAATCAAGCGATTCCTGGCCAAGAAACAAAAGCAGAATCGTCCTATTCCCCAGTGGATTCGGATGAAAACTGGTAATAAAATCAGGTACAACTCCAAGAGGAGACACTGGAGAAGAACCAAGCTGGGTCTGTGAGGAAGCATCGCACATCATGAAATAGCAAACATAATTGGTACACATATTTAAGCCACATGGAGATCACATGTTCCTATCCTATCAATATGGAAACATCCTTCCTACCTGGCCAATAGACATGTCTTATCAAGGGAATGATTTTCTCTGTTACTATGCCTCTATACCAGTAGGTTGGTTCAGTAATAAATGTCTGCCTTTGGCTCAGGTCTTGACGGGGAGTCAGCATGTCTCCCTCTCTCTGCTCCTCCCCCTGCTCATGTGCTTTCTCTCAAATAAAATCTTTTTTAAAAAAAAATAAATAAATAAAAATAAAACTTTAATGTTATTTTTTAATCTGTAGAATGAAATACAAATAAAAATTGATTTCAGATTCTACGCCAATTATTATATCAAACTCCTTTCCCTTCTCAATTTCTGGAACTTCTTTTATACAGATTTTGAACCTCTTACTTCTTCCCATCCTTTCTTTTACTCCCCACCCCCATAAATTCCATCAAATTTTCTTTGTCCTCCTCTTTCAAGCTGCTGATTCTCTTTATATATCCAATGATTTTTGCCCCCTGCAGATTACTCGCACTTACAAAAGGTGGTTTACACTGTTCAGAATTAGTGACAAGTATAGGCCCAGCTAACCATTGTTAAAATCTGCTCTCTCTCCTTTCCTACCCAGCTTACCACAGCAAGCGCCTGGGGGATTCTTCGTTGTAAGCAGTTACTGCTCCCCAGACCTGCCCTTGCCCCATCAATCTTCCCTCAGCACAGGAGATGGCCTTTCCCTCCTGCCTTGGCACACTTAACATTATTATGGGATTCATCTGCTTCTGTGGAAATCATACATGCTTTAGCATTATTCATATTAACATTCTCAGAATGCTGTGGAGGTTTTGGAAGGATGATAGAGCACATGTGCATAAATATCTATAGACATGCCAGTTCGGTGTGATAAAAGGAGTGGTTCCTGGAATTAGGGGTGCTAAGTGAATTAATATTACTCATCTTTTGGACAATTTTCTCTTTTCAACTCCCTTAATAACCGTGTTTCCTCTGATGTAGGAACAAATTAGGGGTAGATGGGGCCAGGCGGGGAAAGATAAGGGCCCAAAGTCAGGTTCCCAGGAATCTGTGGGCTCCCATAAACCCCAAGGACACCAAGAGGCCCAAGAGTCAGGCTTCTACCCATTCCAAGGAAACAGAAATAAAGCAGCAAAAACAGAGATAAAGCCAGATATATATATATATATATATATATATCCCTAGCTCCAAAATGTCAGGGAGTATCTCCCTTTGATGGTTACTAAAGAAATCACAAAAACTCACCAGACCACAAAGAAATAACTCATTAAGGTGTTATCAATAGTCCCCAAGACTGCACAAGAATCTCAAGGTCCAGGCTCCCTGGCTAGGTTCTCAATTAAAGACTGCCACTAAAAGCCCTCAGTGGCAACCCTGCTGGGACCCCTCTCACTGCTGAGAGATTTCTCTGTATCTTTGCTTAATAAATTTCTATTGCTTTGCTCACTCTCCATTGCCCGCGAGATTTTCTTCGACTCCATGAGACAAGAACCTAGTTAGCTCTCTCTTATCACTTCCAGCCAGGTTTCCTTGTGTACCATTCACACAACTGTTGGTCAAGCTTCCCCAGGCTGTGGTAAAGTTCCATAAAATAAAACTACTTCTGCTAATCCTGCTGATCTTTACTCTGGATTTCCTAGACTACTTATTTGAGGATAGCTTCAACATTCCATGACACAGGAATTTTACCACTAGGTAGAATGCTTTTTCTGGACATACTATTGTGGCATTATCAACATCAGCCATTGGCATACATTTAGTTACAGGTTGAAACTATTCTAGAAAACATTAAATAATAACAGCAAAACCAGATGTGATCACATAGTAAGAGCTATTTGAACTGTGGAAAGCTTAGTTTGGTACCTCTGAGCTCACTAGCTGAGAGTAAAGGAAATAAGTCCTTACTGTAACAAAGAACAGACCTTGAGAAAAATCTATAATTGTACTGTCTGGCATGATAGTGAATTTATATGCTTATATTTTTAATATAAAATTATTTTCAACATTAACAGAACTATAATCCTTACTGCATAAGAAAGAATGGTTAGTCCTGTAAATTCAAATAATCCATCAAATAATGTTTTCTAATTATTATTTCACAATTTTTAAATAATGTGAAATTCTTAAAATGTTGATAAGTTTTCATTAAATATTAATTATAATCAAAGGTCTTGACTATGGGGAGAACTTGTCCAATATTTTGAATCAGATCAAGACCAAACATTTTTAAATACTTGTTTCATACAATTTTGTTGCCTTGTTTTTTAATTTGTCCTGTTTTCATGAATGTTCAACCACAAATCCTGTCAAATTTTGAGTTGATAGGTTTTTGTTTTATTTTTTACTATATATTTGCTGTTGTGAAGTCAGGGTCCATTTATTCATTCTTTATTTTTGTCCCCTCAGAAATCTGTATTTCCATCCACCACATTTTATTAGCTAAAGCAAGTCCTAGTCATGCCTAACTTCAGGGGGGTGAGGAGAGTAATCATCCCATATGTTCACAAAAGGCAGAACTAGAAATATTGTTGAACTCTATCTAGGGGAGCTACCACGTCACCTGAGAGGTAAAATCTTTTTTATTATTATTATTTTAAAAGCTATTGTATTGCTCACAGAACATTTATTTTAAGTGACAAGTTTTTTTTAAATATTTTATTTATTTATTCACGAGAGACACAGAGAGAAGCAGAGACACAGGCAGAGGCAGAAGCAGGCTCCATGCAGGGAGCCCGATGTGGGACTCGATCCCCGGACCCCAGGATCACGCCCAGAGCCGAAGGCAAACACTTAACCGCTGAGCCACCCAGGGATCCCAAGTGACATGTTTTTAAAGAGCAAATTGCTTCCCATCTCTCTAAAATACCAGTTACATGCAGGTTTCTGGGTTCTTCTTCTCTATTCCTTTTAATTTTTACATGGTTGTAATCATACTCTAAATACTATTCTTTGTATTGAACATTATGTCATAGCCATTTTCTATTTTGCTAAAGAACCTTCATAATTTTTTATTATGATGTAATAGTTGAAATGGAATTTTGCAATTCCATATATTCTTAGATTATCTAATAATTCCTATTCTGATTTCAAATTTGTATTCAATCTAATTCTTAACCCATCCTTGTGTTCAAAGAAAATAAACCAATAAAACAATACACATCTTAGGCACTTGTAGAAAAACCTGCTATTTCTGGTCCTTCCTAAAATGCAGATTGTTTATGGCCAAACAAAACGGGTACTTAGTTCTGAAAAATTCTACAGAGACAGTGCTAACGTATTAAGTAAGTAGCTTGAAAATCCCAGAAATAGAAAAGAACAGGAACCAATTACGGGAATGTGATTATTAAGTTGCCCAAATATGTTACTATATCTAAAGATGTCAAGTTTTAAGAGAGCAGTATAATATTTTAAGAAAATCAATTTTACTTAAAAAAAAAAAAGAAAATCAATTTTACTTTATAAAATTCTTTCTTACTTTTGTAAGAAAGTAATGTAAGATGATCCCTTAGTTTGTAAAGGTATTTACTTCAAGATTCCATGTAATGGCATGTTTCCTTGAGTTTGAAATACAATAAACAAATATAAATTTGCTTCAAAGCTGTTCAGGTATGACCCTAAAATAAAACTGAGCAATTCCTGTGTTGAACTTTAGAATACTGAAGCAACAGGCTGAACTAACTCTGAATAGTGACTATTGATAGAAGGCAAGAAGGAAATTGATACATTCAAAGTTGAGCAATTGGCAAGAAAGTGACTATCAGACAAGTTCTAGTTGTTTAGGAAAACATCTTAAGAATGCTCCAGGGGAATCTAGTAACATTGACTACACAAAGAAAAAATGTATACTTAAAAAATGTGTATTTAAAAAATGTGTCCTGGCCAACAAGCACATGAGAAAATGCTCCACATCACTTGCCATTAGGGAAATACAAATTAAAACCACAATGAGATACCACCTCACACCATTGAGAATGGGGAAAATTAATAAGGCACGAAACCACAAATGTTGGGAGAGGATGTGGAGAAAGGGGAACCCTCTTGCACTGTTGGTGGGAATGTGAACTGGTGCAGCCACTCTGGAAAACTGTGTGGAGGTTCCTCAAAGACTTAAAAATAGATCTGCCCTACGACCCAGCAATTGCACTGCTGGGGATTTACCCCAAAGATACTGATGCAGTGAAACGCTGGGACACCTGCACCCCGATGTTTCTAGCAGCCATGTCCACAATAGCCAAACTGTGGAAGGAGCCTCAGTGTCCATCGAAAGATGAATGGATAAAGAAGATGTGGTTTATGTATACAATGGAAAATTACTCAGCCAATTAGAAATGACAAATACCCACCATTTGCTTCCACGTGGATGGAACTGGAGGGTATTATGCTGAGTGAAATAAGTCAGTTGGAGAAGGACAAACATTATATGGTCTCATTCATTTGGGGAATATAAAAAATAGTGAAAGGGAATAAAGGGGAAAGGAGAAAAAATGAGTGGGAAATATCAGAAAGGGAGACAGAACATGAGAGACTCCTAACTCTGGGAAAAGAACTAGAGGTGGTAGAAAGGGAGGTGGGCAGGGGTGGGGGTGACTGGGTGACAGGCACTGAGGGGGGCACTTGATGGGATGAGCACTGGGTGTTATTCTATATGCTGGCAAATTGAACACCAATAAAAAATAAAATTTTAAAAAATGTGTCCTACCGTTTGTACTTCAATATCACCTTGTTCCTCACATTTTGTTTCTTCTTCTTCGTGAACAGATTTAGACTCATTTTCTAGTTGTTTACTCTCTTCTGGGAGCTCTTTGCTGATTGCTGCTTCTACACTCTTGACTTCATCTTTGACAAACTGTGGTATTCTGGTAGTATGTCCTTGGAATGATGTTGAGATGGGGCGCAGTGGTGTGACATGGTCATAGTGTGTATGTAGGAGTCGCAAAGCAATGTCACTTGTTGCCAAAATCCTTGGAATTTCAAATCCAGTTTGTGTTTCAGAGAATCTGACACTTTTGTACCTGTTGATAATTTCAACAAAAAGGAGGAGACCCTATGAAACTAAGTCTGTTGAGAATGTATACCTAAGCAATATTTCTCTTCATTTGAATTTTGCCAAACTTTGGAATCCCAATCCATGCTTGCTTGCTTTGTGGCATTTGGACCCAGTTGTTAATGTTGTACTTCTCAAAACACTCTCTTGGTGTCTATGACCCCATACTCTTCTCTTCCATTTCTGGCAAGTCCTTCTCTGCTTCCTCTGGATGGTCTTCTTCCTAACTGTCCCTTAAAAGTTGACATTACTCTGCTTTCTACCCAGGCCCTCCCCTCCACATACTCTCCTTAGATATTATTATTTTGATGGCCTCAATCATAACTTAGGTTAACAGGAATTTTTAACATGAGTTCTATGTTTCCTGAGGGGGGGGGTGCAGGGGAAGAGGCATCCTTCAATGGGTTTTAAGAGGTCCAAACATGCCCTTACCTATGATAAGTATGTGTGATAAAGTTCGTAAGAATGTATGACTCCCCAAAAGTTAAAAAGTCCTGATCTATAGGTCTCCTCAAAACAGATCTACAACTCAGATTTTTTTCAATGCTTTCAGACAGTTGAACTTTGCTATTTTATAAGTATGTAAACTCAACAGGTCCAACATTGAACACACCATCCCTGCAACCCCTCTCACTATCACTATCACTATCAAATAAAACAAAATTTGTTTCTGCCTCCACTATTCATTATCTTAGTAAAAGGACACCATCTAATTCTCTTCTTAAACCTGGTAGCTAATACAGGGCTATCCATTTTACTTCTTTTAAAATTATACAGATTAATTTTTTACTCTTCTGTATGTAACACATTTTACGATTAAAAAGGATATATTGCTATATTGTCTCATTAGATTTGAAGACAGAATATTTTAAAGCAAATGTAACTTGGAAAATATTTTGTTTCTTCCTGTTACTCAATACCAAATTAAAGTCCAATTCTTTCCATTCTCATATGACTAGTCTTTTCAGAGCTGGCACCCTAGAACCTAGGCCTCCTAGCATTTACTTTGTTTTCTTTTTTTTTTTCCCTAAAACACACTGCCATACTAACTCAATTAATTTGAAATATTGAAGATTAAGCAACAGAAATGATCATGAATTTATCATTATCACTATCATTTCTCAGAAAGATGTTATTAGCTAAAAATAACATGCTTAAGGTAAACAAATGGCAGGTCTGTGATACAAACTCCAGTTGGTTGACTTCCTAACATAGGTTTTTTCCAAGTATACCATACTAGTATGCAACAGCCATCTGTTTAGTCATCATGAGGCGACTCCCAATATATTTTAACCTACAGTATCACCCATGGGAATACCTTGGATTCTTCTTGAGGTTTGCCCACACATATAGAGTAACATTTTCATCTTGAATGACTTTTTCCATATTTCCACTGTCCAGATCTGCTAATGTACTAGCTTGCTATAAGAAGAAAAAGAAAACATTATAAAAGATGAGAGGCCTCATAAATTATGCAACTTAGATGAATTATTTCATCACTTAGGTGTTAGATTCATTACTTAAGAGAGTAATTTGGGTAAAAGTATCAAAATAACAAAAAAATTGTTTAAAAAATTATCTTAATGATATTTCATTACTTAACTAAATGTGCTCCACAACTGTGTCTAAGGATTAACGTTGTTCCTATATTCCTAGGATTACTATTATATTACCCTTTCCAATTTTAACATTATCATGACTTTAACTATACACATGCTTCTTTATCTGTACCTTATTTTTTTTAAAGGTTTTTATTTATTTATTCATGAGAGATACAGAGAGAGAGAGGCAGAGACACAGGTAGAGGGAGAAGCAGGCTCCATGCAGGAAGCCTGATGTGGTGGAGAAGCAGGCTCTATGCAGGAAGCCTGATGCGGGACTTGGTATCAGGACCCTAAGATCATGCCCTGAACCAAAGGCAGATGCTCAGCCACTGAGCCACCCAGGCATCCCCTTTATCTGTACCTTAAAATGTAGATCACACTACTGCAAATGTTAGTCTATTTCTGAATATTATCAAATTTAGAAAACAAAATATCCAGTTTATGAAATCCAAATGAGTCATTATTAGTAATACTTGATGTCCAACACCAAGTACAATTTATGGATGTTCTTAAAAATGTTTTAGTAAAGACTAATATAGCTTGATGCATATTAACTCTCTAAAATGGCTTAACTAAGTCAATATTATATGTATTTAGTTGCCATAATATAAAAACTTAGAAGTAGGGATCCCTGGGTGGCACAGCGGTTTGGCGCCTGCCTTTGGCCCAGGGCGCGATCCTGGAGACCCGGGATCGAATCCCACGTCGGGCTCCCGGTGCATGGAGCCTGCTTCTCCCTCTGCCTGTGTCTCTGCCTCTCTCTCCCTCTCTCTCTCTCTGTGACTATCATAAATAAATAAAAATTAAAAAAAAAACTTAGAGAAGTACTGGAGATTGAATTTATTGCCAAGTTTTAAAAAGTCATTGATTTTCAGTTTAGTAGTTTTTAAAAAGTAATTGTTCCTCAACAACTTTTCACCTAATTACTTAAGTGAAAGTGATTCTTATCATTCATTACACTGAGGATTAAAAAATGGTGATTTTCTGACAATTCCTTCTACATTTATCAGACGGCATTCTTCAATAAAGAACTATTCTTTCCCCCAACCCTCTTTTCCCCCTTCCTTTTTTGAAGTACACTTTAGATCTATGGATTTTTATTCAATGTACTATAATCAATTACAATTATTCTTTCTGATATTCAAATTATTCCAAATTTGACCAGTGGGAGCCCCTTTAAGCTAGTTCGGTCCCTTTGGATATGACTCCATGTAGTCTCTGAGCATTTATTTGCTTTTTAGCACAAGATAACTCCACTTCATCTTTCATTTTCCCTACTCCCAGCCTGGAATTGGCTGTCTACCCCAATTACAACTGATTCCATTTTATGAATTAAAAAGAAACCTGGTTCATACTGATTTTTCCATTTCGAATTTAATATTACAGTATTTTATTCTAATCTCCTTTCCTTTTACATACTGTATCCTTTTTTATCTTAAAATAATCTCAATTACTAATAATTATAATACATTTCCTTGCTTTTCTTACAATATAAACAAAATAGTTCCAAAATTACATTATGAATATTACTACTAAAAATAAATTTAGTGAAGTTCAATCCTTCTTTGCAGTATTTAGAACATATTCTACTAAGGCTATACAGAGACCAAAATAAATCAAAAGATAAAATATGCCCCCCACCCAAAAAAAGTGTAACTTTGTTGTTTTCTGATTTAAAGAACAAAATAAAACAAAAATAGCCATAGAAGACATTCATGGGATAGGATATTAGCCAAAATTTAAATATGAACTGGACATTAGATTATGGAATTAGTACTTTCTAAGGTATAATAATGATTTTACAGTTATATAGATATTATTATTATTGACAAGATATTTGGGAAAAATAGAGTGACTGACTACCAATAATTATGATCTTTATCAATTGACTTTCTAGAGTAGTGAATGTCTAACATATAATGTTTCGTGAATTTATTTTCATAGTGATCCTAGTAAACCTTAGCAAGAATAAGAAAAAAACTGGACTTTAACTATACTAACAATGTTTTTTTTTTCTTTAGAAATATTTATGATTGTTAAATCTGGATAAATATATACCTATGACTTTTTCCTAGCCTTTTAATTAAAAATATACTTGATTTTTATCATATAGTATAAAATTTTAACAGTCAAAAAAGTTAATCATAACTTAGAGGCAAAATAATAACACTTACTCTGAGAAGTATTTCCGTGGCTATATTAAACTTAAGATGAAGGAGCTCCTGCATTTCTAGAACTGATCCTTGGTATTGTATGATATTTTTATCTTCCAAATAATATGGTGGCGTTTCCAATAAAATTAATTTCAATTTCTCAATTAACTATAAAATAAAAACAAAGTAAAAACTTTATTAAAAAATAATCTTTTGAAAACTACTCAAAGAAAGAGTGAAAAGGGGATATTCTATCTTTTGAATTGAAAAACACATCATCAGTAAAACATGATGATAAAAACCTTTTATTTATTTATTGTATTATTTAAGATCATGGAAAAATAAAATATTTCCTCCAGGAACTCCATTGTAAGAATTCCCGACTATGTGTAACAGTATTTTCATTAGCAAGTTAATACAACAGGGACAGCCTGGATACCTATGACTATGGAACAGTAGAAATAATAGTATAACAACAACAGTATATAACAACAAGAAGTTAAGAAGAGAGTTACTAATATATATTGAATGTTTATGTAGGAGCCCAGGGCAGGCTACCCTCAAATGCACCAAAAAGACACAATATTTAACATTTTTAATTGAATTTTTACTAATCTCAGCCCAAATTGCACTTAGAATTCCTTACTAACTCAAGTTCACTAACACCTCTTTTCCTTATCCTGTAAATTCCTCACAAATCTATTGTTTCTTTGTTTAAAATGTGCCTGCCTTGGTCATTTCTTTGGGTCACAATTTCATTATTGGATATCCATATGCATGGAATAAAATTGTCTTTTTTCTCCCATTAACCTGTCTCATGCGAACTGAATTTTCAGTCCAGCTGAAAGACCTTGAAGGGTAGGAGAATTTTCTCTCCTACACTTACTATATGCCAAGAATTGTTCTAAATGCTTATGTTTTAATTCATTCTGTCTTCATCATAACTCTATCAGCTAGATACTGTTACTGTGTCTATTTTTATAGATAAGGAAAACAAGGTTTCAACTGTAAGGAGTTTGGGAGATCCCACCCATCCTAACAAGTAAAAAGCTCAACAGACTGAAAAATCAGCAAGTCTTCTTTGATCCACAGAGGGGAGGAGAAAGGGCAAACACCTGCCCTCAAGATTGGAGGGACCTATACTTAGGAGCAAAAGCCACTGCAGAAACCAGTGAGAGTTAAAAACTGAATTGTAAATGACAAATTATTGGAGGCTCAGTGTAGACAACTCTTGAGAGTTAAAAACTCCAGGAGAGCACAGTCCTGGAAGGAAAAGAGCCCACAATATTGTTAGATTTACCTCCAAAAACTCTACCAGATTCTTACAATAACTACAGGAGTAAAATCCCCTCCTACTTCTAGCAGAGGAAAGGGGAAAGGAATGATTTTGAAATATGCCAGAGTACTCTGTTCTTAACAAGGCCTAATCTTGGGGGGGACTAATTAGAGCCTAATCTGCAGGAATTTTATCTGAGTCTAACTCACCTGGGGGAAAGAAAATACATAACTCCAGCTGTCTCTAGCCATTCCCTTCCACCTAAGAGGGAATAAAAAAATTAAAAACACTTGTGAAGTTCTCTATACAGAGACACAGGCATAGGATTACTAAAAGATTGAGGCCTAATTGCAGGACTATAGGATTCTTCCCCTCCCCTTACTTTACCTCACAATCACATTATTACAGTATTTATAGTACCTCCTTTTACCTGGTACATCATGTCCAGCTATCAGGAGAAAATTATAAGCCATACCAAAAGGCAAAAACCACAATTTGAAAAGACAAAGCAAACATAAGAACCACACATGGCTGAGATGTTGGAATTACCAGACCATGAATTTAAAACAACTATGATTAATATGCTAGGAGCTCTACTGGATAAAATAGATAGCATACATGGATGGGCAATGTAAAGGAGAGAGATGGAAATCCTAAGAAATAACCACATAGAAATGTTAGATCATCGGATACTGTAATAGGAATGGAGCATGCCTTTGGTGGCTTATTAGTAGACTGGACTCAGCTGAGGAAAGAATCTCTGAGCCAGAGGACATAGCAATAGAATCCTTGAAAACCAAATGGCAAAGACAACAAAAACCTGAAAAAAACAACTTAAAAAACAGACAAAAATATCCAAGGCCTGTGGGACAACTACAAAGGGTTGGAACTTGAAGGAGGGAATACTAGAAGGAGGAAAAAAAAGAGAGAAAGGAACAGAATAAATATTTGAAATAATAATAACAGAATTTCCCTAAGTTAATATCAGATGCCAAACCACAGGTTCAGGAAGCTCAAAGAACACCAAGCAAGGATAAGTGCCCTAAAAAACTACACTTAGGCATATCATTTTCAAACTACAGAAAATCAAAGATAAGGAAAAAAATCCCTACAGGAGCCAGAGTAAAAAAATACCCTACCTTTAGAGGAACAAAATTAAGAATTGAATTTAACATCTCAGAAACCATACAAGCAAGAAGAGAGTGAAGATATTTAAAGTGTTGGGAGAAACAGAGGCATAGCATGATCAAGGAACAACAAGTAAGTGGCAAGATTTAGTTTTGAACACTGACACAGATAATACCTAAACAATTTCTAAATTAAGAAAGGCAGCATAGTGGTCTAGGCCAGTGTGGACTCAAGTCAGAAATGCAAGGCTTCAATCCTAACCACTTCTTATTAGTAGTGTGATCTTGGGCAAGGTATGTAATGTCTTTGTGCCTCTATGCATCACTGTGCCTTCTTCATTTGTAAAATAGGAATAATGGTGCCTACCTCATAGGGTTATTATAAGAATTCAGCAAGTTACTATTTCTAAAGCCTGGCATAGTATTAGTTAAGAACTTGCCAAATGAATAAATTTGATCATTTGGAACTCTGTGTTTGCCATGGATGGCATCACTGCTATCCAATTATTTGTTCCTCGTGTGCTGCCTGCTTTAGTTTCCTATTGCTATAATCATCCCCCACTTCTGTCTCCTGTTTTGTTTTACTTATCTTTTTCTCATTTTCCCCTACTATTTTTTTCTACTTCTGTAACCCATTCTCATAATAGGAAGATGTCATTTCCAGCTCATCACTGATAAACTCTACTACTTCTTCTACTTCCCCTCTCTCTTGGCTTTTGCAGAGCACTGGATCCCTAGACCAGCATCATGCCATGGCAGCCTGGCAGAGAGGATGTGCAATGGCAAGACTGCCTCACAGTGTATGGGAGGCTCCGTGGAGCCTTTGGAAAGTCAGAGTAAGATCCATCAAAAATCTCTGACTCAAGTCACAGTTTCTCTCTCTTCATATGTAAAATGGGTCTCATAAGCATGTTCAGATCAAATGCATGTTAGGTAGAGTCTGGAGTTACTCAATCTTACAACACGTAAATGTGGAGTAAATCACAGTGACAAGAAACACAAAACGTGGTGATGAATTGTAACAAAAAGCATTAGAGGACAACAGGACCAAGAGCAGTGAATTCCTTCCAGTTTCAACAATGATACAGGTGAGTCTAGTGTAGATTCTTCTATTCAATCTAAGTTAGGATTTGTTGGGTTTCCTGAATCTGAGAGTTTGTATCCTTCCTCAATTCTGGAAAATGTCAGCCATTTTCTCTTTGAATATTGTCATTCCCTCAGTCTTTTGCATCTCCTCCTGGTACTCCTTTTCAGTGTATTTTAGCCTCTTTTCCTCTATCATACATGTCCATTAACTGCTCATTCATATTTTCCATCTCTTTATATCTGTGCTATATTCTGGTACATTCTTCCAATCCAACTTCTGATTCACTTGTGATTAAGAATTATTTTTTTTTGTTTCCCTTCTCTAAGCTAAAGATGAGCCAAACAAGTTCATATCATTTTTTTTTTTTTTTGCAGATTAGGCATTTCCCCTATTATCCACAGTAACTTTTCGAGGCTCCCAGCCATATAAGGAATCTCTGATTCAAGTTGCCACCTTTTATGTGCTCTAGACTTTGCCTCCTGATGGTCCTTGAAACTAATGCTAACCTAAGACTTACTAGAGAGAAGAGCCTCTGGGGATATGGCTTCTCTGGGAAGCCACTGACTTTGAGACATGCTCACTTTTCTTTTTTTTTAAGATTTTGTTTATTTATTCATGAGACACACACAGAGTATTTATTCATGAGAGAGACACAGAGAGAGAGAGAGAGACATAGGCAGAGGGAGAAGCAGGCTCCCTGCAAGGAGTCCAATGTGGGACTTGATCCTAGGACTGCAAGATCATGCCCTGAGCCCAAAACAGATGCTCAACCACTGAGCCACCCAGGCGTCCTGAGACTTGCCCACTTTTCTTAATTGTTTTATAGACTCAAAGATTTTCCCTTACTTGGTTTTGAACTAGGAAATCAATTTATTTAAGATTTATTTATCTAATTTAGAGAGAGAGAGACAACATGTGAGAGAGAGCATGAAAGTAGTGGAAGGGACAGAGGGAAAGAATCTTCAAGTAGACTCCCTGCTGAGTACAGAGCCCAATGTAGGACTTGATCTCATGATCCTTAAGATCAGAACCTGAGCTGAAACCAAGAGTCAGACACTTAACCAACTGAGCCACCTAGACAACCCTAGGCAATTAATTTAAGTATCATTTTTAAAAGGTTTTTTTTTTTTAGCATTTTTAAGTGCATCATAAAATGGTAGTTCCTCAGGGTAGCCTATTCATCCTATTTACAGAAGTACAAGGTACAATATTCTTACTCTGTACTTTCATGCTTAAAAAAGTAGGTGCCTGGCACATAGTTATCATTGAAAAACATCTGTAATGAATCATAGAATAGTAAAAAATTTCAACTCAGGATAAAATCATGCATTTTTCCCCAAAGTTATCTAAATAAATGGATACAACTTGACTTTTTTTTCCTGCTTGGATTAACACACATAATGTTTCACATTTATGTTATGCTGACCTTATCTAAGGTGGCAAAGATAAAAAATAAAAATAGAAGTTGTAAAAATAAAAAAGAAAAGGAAAAGATTAGCAAATATTTTTTCTCCATAGCCAAGCAAGTAGTAGTGTTATTAATTGGCAAGTATCATAATTCAATTTATTTCTATTTTGAAGTCAATATTAGACAATTTGTAATTTAAATAATTTAAAATAATAGAATAATATTCCAGTACCTACATTTAGCACTAGTTTACTCTTTGCAATCACTTCCTCAAAGGTCTCATTTGTTTCTTCTTTCCATAGACTAATGAAAGTATTAATTTCTGGGGCTATTGAAGGATCAGGACTCCCATCACATTGAATGTAGTGTTTCCACTGTGGAATAAAAATGTCTGAAAGTTCACACTGATGAAAATTCAAAGATTAAGTAACTTTTTTCAAAGTATCAGTTTCATAATCTAGTTTTCCCAATTTAGGCAAAAAACATTGACTTTAAATATCTCTAAAATAACAAAATTCTCTTCATCAAAATAATTTAAAAGCTTCCATAATTCAAATAAATAGCAATTCTAGTAGCTGTCATATTTTTAAAACAGTATTTATAAGTCAGTTTTGTCTTGCTTTCTTCTCTAATCATATAACTTCTATATTTACAACAGCCAACATGGGCTAATTTCTACTTCTCAAATTGTTACTAATTATAAATGCCACTGGCATTTTAGTGTGAGTTCTTCCATTCATTTTGTAGTCTATGTAAATTCTACATTTGTACTTACACTTTTTTGCTTAAAATTATACCACAATCTTTTGCCATATTATTAGTTTTTCCTTTTACTCCTGATAATCTTTATTATTTCCAAAATTATGCTATTCTGAGCAACACTAGATTGCCCTAAATTCAGTTATCTATTTTAATTTAGAATAATTTCCTCAGTATAGATTCCACAAAATTAAATCAGAGTCAAAATATGTAAAAATTTCAAGGGTCTTATTATTGACAAATAGTTTTCTACAAAGCTAGGTGAATTTACTTTGCTACATGCAATATGAGAACTTTGTCAGATTACACATGTTTTACACACAAATTTAGTTTGGGAAGGACTGCAAAGGATATCAGATTATAACTCCCTCTTGTGGCACAAAAGTATTAACTCACTTTTAAAAAAAAAAATCAGTCTTACCTGAGAAAGCAATCTAGTATCTTGTTTCAATTTCTCTGCTTCAGGAAAACACCTCTCTAATAAAGAAAGTTCTTCAAGTTCTTCATTTCTCCTTTCTAGATCCTGTTGCATGGGGATAGATACATTGGCCAGTTCTTCAATTTTAGCTTTATGTTTCACAGGTAGTATCTAAACTTTACTGGTAAAATACTTAGTTTCAAAATGAACACTAAAGTTAGCTTGTATGTACCTGGTATTTCCAAAAAGTTTCACCTGCAACAGTGGTTTGCGACTCCTGGTGGGTCCCCAAGAAAGACTCTTTAGGGATATGAGAGGTCAAATCTGTCTTCATAGTAACACTAAAACACTATTCACCTTTTTTGCAGCATATACATTTGTACTAATGGTGCAAAATGGTATAAAATTGCTGTTGCCTCAGCACAAATCAAGGCACAAGCTGTATTAGGGAATCACATTCTTTGGAGGAGAGGGGTGGTAAACAGCCAGTTTCACATAAGAGTGACCTGATGAAATGAAAAATTATAAATTTTATTAAATGTCAACTCATCAGTATATGTCTTTTGGTTATTCTGTGTGATAAAATGGGAAGTATGTATAAAGCACTTCTGCAGCATATCAAAGGACAAGGCTGTCTTGAGAAATAAATACTTGTGCAATTATTTTGTATTTTGGCAGACACTCTCAAAAATGAATGAAATAAACATGTAACTTTCAGGAAACAAGTAAAAGTATTTACTACCAATGATAAAATTCAAGTTTTCAAATAAATTCAAATTTTTAAAAATTTATTTATTTATTTGTTTTTTTTTTTTTAATTCAAATTTTAAAGGGGCGCATGGGTGGCTCAGTCGGTTGAGCGTCCACCTCTTGGTTTTGGCTCAGGTCATGATCTCAGGGTAATGGGATCAGGCCCCAGGCCCCACATTGTGGGGCTCCACCCTCAGCAGGGAACCTGCTTGAGATTCTCTCCCTACCTCTCTGCTGTCTTCTGTACTCTCTCTCAAATAAATGAATGAATCTTTAAAAAAATTTCACATCTTAAGAAAGTTGTATCTACCATGGTGAGCTTAACATTTTCTCCTTTCTGATTTGATTAGAGATGACATTAATGCATGTGATTGTTTATAATAATAAATGTGTCAACATTTATTTTTATTTTTTTTAAGATTTTATTTATTTATTCATGAGACACAGAGAGAGAGAGAGAGAGAGAGAGAGAGAGAGAGAGAGGCAGAGACACAGGCAGAGGGAGAAGCAGGCTCCATACAGGGAGCCCGACGTGGGACTCGATCCTGGGTCTCCAGGATCAGGCCCTGGGCTGAAGGCAACACTAAATCACTGAGCCACCCAGGCTGCCCTGTATCAACATTTAAAACGAAATAATTCAGTAAACCAAATTTTTCCAAGCAATGAATACATATTACAAAATCATACATGATAAAGAAATGGTAAAATAAATCTATTTAAAGGGTAAAATAAACCAATGTTTTAGTGTAACAGAGCATGAAAACATCATTGATATGACTTCAGATTCCTTATTGAGAAACAATGACTTACTGAGTTTTAGTATAGTATCAAAAAGAATATTCACAATTATCTGAAAGGCTATTAAATATTCCTTTTTCCAACTATGAATCTACGAGGCCAGATTTTCTTCATATACTTCAATCAAAACAACACATTGAGGGACCCCTGGGTGGCTCAGCAGTTTAGTGCTTGCCTTTAGCCCAGGGGGTGATTCTGGAGACCCAAGATCCAGTCCCACATTGGGTTCCCTGCATGGAGCCTGCTTCTCCCTCTGCCTGTGTCTCTGCCTCTCTCCTCTCTGTGTGTGTCTCTCATGAATAAATAAATTCTTTAAAAAAAAAAAAAAAAAAAACACTGAAACAGACAGAATCCTGAAGTAGTTATGAGAATCCAGCTGTGTTTTGTTAAGTCTGACATCAAAGAGATTTTAAAAATATAAACAATGCCACTTATTTCCCAAATTTAAAAAATATATAAAGTGTCGTGATGGATGTTAGCTAGACTTATTGTAATAATCATTTCACAATATATACAAGTATTGATCACCATGTTGTACACCTGAACCTAATGTTACATATCAATTATAATTCAATAAACATTTATATAATATATATAGTTGTTTTTTATAACATAAATACATAATATATTTACTTATTTTTATTGTTTATCTTTAACAATATTTACTGTCTGTTAATATGTTTTAAAATTTCTCAGTTTGAGTTTCTAAAATGGTAAACATTGATAGATATAACCCATATAAACAAATCTCCTTGGGGGTCTTCAATTTTTAATACTTATGAGGTTGCCCTCTGATCAAAATATTTCAGAACTACAGAGCTGAAAAATTCTGGTGAAAAAGAGAAGTAAAACTAGAAAAAGAGAGGTAGAATTTGAATTTTAGGGGAGGGGGTTTCCTGTTTAATTATCTACAAAACAGACTGAGAAAAGTAACTTAATGCTTACAAGCAAGGGCTCTGAAGCAAGACTATTTATGCCTAAATCCTGGCTCTGCAACTTATTAGCCGCTTACTTTCTCTATTCCTCAATTTCCTTATCTGTGAAATGTGGGTAATAATTTCACTAACTTTCTGGTAGGATTAAATGAGTTAAATCAGGTTATATAGGCCTAAACATTAGTGATAGATATGGGGGAGTGACATTACAGATCTGATAGCCATATAGTTTTGTCTTCATTAATAACAATACTAATGTTTATATACCTTTGATTCGAGTTGATTCCATTTTTCTTTCTCAATCCGTTCTAGTTCAAGCCTTTCCATTTCTTCTTTTTCATATTTCACACGGGCTTCCTCTAAAGAACCAAAAAAAGTTTTTTCTTAGTGATTAAATCAATCTATTTTTAAGCCATTAAGGTTACTTAAAATATTTTCAAGATTTAAGGATAGTGGAATATTTTATAGAAGTCACAACCCATGTCATGGAGTAGAAATAAGACAAATACTGGATTTCTTTAGAAAAGTAACATGAGGGCAGCCCAGGTGGCTCAGTGGTTTAGCGCCGCCTTCAGTCCAGGCCATGATCCTGGAGGCCTGGGATCGAGTCCCGCATTGGGCTCTCTCTATTCAAAAGGAGCCTGCTTCTCCCTCTGCCTGTGTCTCTGCCCCTCTCTCTCTGTGTTTCTCATGAATAAATAAATAAAGTCTTTAAAAAAAAAAAAGAAAGAAAAGTAACATGACTCAAACTTTCCAGCCAAGAAAATAGCCGTATAATGATATTTATCTTCCCCAAAAAGTTTATAGAAATCCAATAATAATTATAACCAATAAAAGAGGACAGATCTATCATGAGTAATTAAGATCTCTTATGTGTAAAATCTTCAGATTTCTGTAAGTTTATGACGTCGACATCATCAGAAGCAATTACCTTAATCTTTTCTTGCTTTCACTATTAAAAACAAAATACGAATACATGTGGAAAAATATGAGTTTAATTCAATAAAACTTTCCCCAAGATCTAGATCCCGAGATTGTATTCTTATCACAAGTCACCTAACAAGGGTTTATAATGATTATACATAAAAAATCAACATGGAACCTGAGGACAGACTTTTAAAACCTGAATTTGAATCCATAAATATTCTTAATGCTAAAAGTTACAACCACTCGAAATATTCAGATTTTTTAAATTGCCTTTTAGTATTTTAAATACTGATGTTTTGTTTTTTTTTTTTTTTTTAATTTTTATTTATTTATGATAGTCACAGAGAGAGAGAGAGAGAGGCAGAAACACAGGCAGAGGGAGAAGCAGGCTCCATGCACCGGGAGCCCGACGTGGGATTCGATCCTGGGTCTCCAGGATCGCGCCCTGGGCCAAAGGCAGGCGCTAAACCGCTGCGCCACCCAGGGATCCCAATACTGATGTTTTTATAAATTTTTAATTGACTTTTTTTTTTACAAATGAAAATCGTCTTTAAATTTGGCAAATAAATATTATTAAACTATAAGAACTTAGGCTACTGTGTACAATTCTTGCTAGTATCTATTTCCCATATTTAATGCATTTGAATTTCAGAATTCTTACTGTACAATTAGCCCTACTTCCCCTAAGTTCATCAGTAAATACAAATGCTTCAAGATAGGGTTGCCAGAGTTAGCAAATAAAAATACAGGATGCTCAGTTGACTTGAATTTCAGATAAATGAATTGCCTCTTTTTTTTTTTTTTTTAAGTAGGTTCCACATTGCATGAGACAAATTATCCCAAATATTCACTGTTTATCTGAAATTCAAATTTAACTGGGCATTCTGTATTTTATCAACTCCATTTCAAGATATACCTGAAAATGATTGGTATGTACTAACAACTTTCTGGGTGTCCTTTAAACAGCAGATATCTATTATAAAACAAATTAAATTTGAAAAATTGGAAGAGTTTTGAAAATTCTTTTTAAAAATATTGCCTGGGATGTAGAAACATCAACCTATTGTTATATTCCCTGCATATGAAAATATTTTGTACCTTCCTCTTTTTGCCGTCTTTCCTCCTCCTCCTGTAGCTGCTTTAATCGTTCAGCTTTGGTGACTTTCTTCTTCTTCCTGTCAGACTTAAATGTCACAACATAACAAAAGGCTATTAATATGCACCCAAATTACTTTAAAACACATATTCCTCAAATAGTAATTATGAAAAACACTTTTGCTTCCATGAATCCAGTCTTTCATTCATTCAAGTAAGACTATCCATTATGTACAAAGTCATGACCCAATGCATTAAGGACAAAGTATGGAAACAAGTAAAAAGAAAAAAAAAAAAAAGGTATATAAGTCATTCAAAGGCAAGAGTGACAGTGACAATTTAATTACTATACAATTAATACTATGCAACTAATATGCAATTTAAATAATTTTCTCATTCTCAGTTTCCACATCTTTAAAATGGTGGCAAATAAGACCTCATGTTGGAGTGCCTGGGTCACTCGGTTGAGTGTCCAACTCTCGATTTCAGAAGAGGTCATGATCTCAGGACTGTGTGTCAAGCCCCAAGACAGGTTCTGTGTTCAGCGTAGGGTCTGCTTAAAATTCTCTCTCTCCCCCTGCCTATCTTCCCACTCACATACACATTTTTTCTGTCTCTGTCTCTCAACTAAATAAATAAAATCTTTAAAAAAAGGCCTCATTTTGTTATTGTAAGGATCAAAATAAAATATATGTAAAAAGTTTTAATACTACTAGATGCCTAGAAAGATTAATGACTGACTTTTATGACTGACAAATATACAGAGAGTTATTTAACAAGTTTAGAGAAATGAAAAATTATTTTCAACACCTAGAATGAAGCAAAAAAATTTATAGAGCAGGTCATATTTAAGTTTGTGCCCAAAAGATTTTAACATTCAGATATAAGGGGAAGGTATCTCAGGAAGAGGGAAATTCAGGCAACAAGATATGGAAATGGGATTGCACTGGAAAGGCCAACAAATTCATGGATCCTGGGAGATTCCAAGAAAAGGTGATAGACATGAGAATAGATAAGAAGACTGGAGCCCACGCTATAAATGACATTATTCTAAAAGAAATGGTAACCCAAAAAGCTATTGAGATAGGCTGAGGCTATTAAGAACATAATTTTGAAAATGAATCTTGTATTAGAAAAAAAATGATTATGAAGAGGATATCATTTGGGTGACTATTAAGAGTAGTTACTAAAACTAAAGTCATGACAATGTAATAAACACAGCAGAATCAATCCAATAAGTATTATTTAAGCTAACTTATTTGATAATGATTGAAACTGGAGGCAAGGACAGCAATAAGAGTAAAAACAAAACAAAACAAAACTACAGTCCAGAACAAGTAAATTTGGATGAAATAGTGTTGAAAGGAGTTTAAATATAATTAGTATGAGGTGCTGGTAGAGCATCCATCCAGGCAATATTTGCAGGCACTGAACCTGGAGAACTGAGGTTTAGCAAAGAGGTCAGGGCTACAGAATACAAATGAGAACTGTCTTGATGATAACCACTGCCTCCTCATTTCCCTAAGGGAAAGAAAGTATATAAAGAAAAGAACACTATCTAAAGTTACTACTCAATAGAGTGGCTAATCCCCAGAATATACAGACTTTTGGATGACCATCTTCTCCTTTTGGCTCACCCACTTACTGCAGAATGCTCCACTGGAATCTCCAATCCATTAGCCCTACCGTTTCTTCATTGATCATTAAGCCCTTCATTCTTTCACTTCCTTACCCAGGTTAGGTTTCACAGCTCATCACCATAATCACTAATTTATATATTTTCACTTCCCTTATGTTCCTGTCCCTCTGAGAAGCTTAGCTGGCAAACGGTTAGTTCTATCTAGTTCAACTCAAGTCTCCATTTATTCTGCGCTGGCAATATGAGCAGCTGAACCTTGTCAGAGAAAAATACATGAGCTCAAATTTATGGAGCACATATTTTAATTTTTTTTAATTTTTATTTATTTATGATAGTCACATAGAATGAGAGAGAGAGGCAGAGACACAGGCAGAGGGAGAAGCAGGCTCCATGCACTGGGAGCCCGACGTGGGATTCGATCCCGGGTCTCCAGGATCGTGCCCTGGGCCAAAGGCAGGCGCCAAACCGCTGCGCTACCCAGGGATCCCCTGGAGCACATATTTTAAATAGACTTTGTACCATCCAGTGTTCCTACTACTGTTTCATTCTCCTCACTCTTCAAGCCTACAAAATCCTCTCCTATTTCCTATGTTCAGCTATTGACTTTATCTCTCATAACACTGGAAAGAATAATCTCAGTTAGATACCTAAGTCTTTGAACCTACCTATAAATCTTTGTCTGCTTTTCCTCCCTTTATGGTATGGTCTATATGTACCTGGTCTGCCTTTCCTCCCTTTATGGTATGGTCTATATGTACCTTCTGCCACCTTTACACTAGATCCTATCCTTTATGGCCTATTTGACAAGCCTTGGCCCCTGTAATTAATACCTCCAGTTTTTCATAAATTTTTCCCTTCCCAGATTTCACATCCCTCTCCATTTTTGCTCTAATTTTGTTATCCTTTATATATCTGATATCCTTTATATCAGACCACCTAAAAGGCTTGCCTACTTTCCTGTTTTCTGCATGGCTCACTCTAATCAGGCTTTCACTTCATTTCTATTGCTCCATTAAAACCTCTCCCGCCAAGGAATCTTAAGATGGCCAGTCTGACTTCATTTTTCAGTACTAATAAATGTGGAGGAGGCAAGATGGAGGAAGATAGGGGTTCTCAATTCATCTGGTCCCACAAACTTACCTAGATAACTTGCAAAACATCCTACACACCTGAGTTCAACCTGAGCTATAAAGAGAGAACAGCTGAAATGCTACGGAGAGAAAAGTGATTGCTTCTGACAAGAAGATGGAGAAGATAAAAGATGGGGGAGGGGCAAACTGGGGCATGAAAGCCAAGCCCCGGACAAGTGGGAACTTTAGAAATCTGTGCCTGGAAGAGTCTTCCCTGACTGAAAAGTGCTCAGTAGGGTAATAGGGCAGAATTGCAGGAGGGGCAGTGAAGCCTCACTATGGGGGCACCCAGGAGAAAGCTCCACAAACCACTGTAGGATCGCGGTAAAGGGCTGGAATGCGCAACCCTCTGAGGCACTTGGGAGAAGCCAGCCAGTTACTCAGGCCAGCACAGGAGCTCCCTTTACCCTAGAACCCAGCAATGGATGGAGATGGCTGTCCTCTGTTCCCTTTGGGAGACACAGACCCTGGGAGGGACCTCTCCTGATGCTAGGCGCCCTTCGGTTCCTACAGATCACTGCCCCTGCGCTTGCCCCCAGGAGCATCTAGGCCAGTGCACTGGGAAACTGCGGTTTGGTACTCGTGGGGAGCTCTTGCTCCAGAGCTGGAGATCTGGCTGCCACCATTTATTTTTTTCTTCCTTTTGCCTTTCACCTGGGAGAGGCAGGGCCTCTAGGGAACAAACACGTCACAGGATAAACAGCTCACACTGAGCAGGGCCACCCGGCAATGGGTGAGGCATCTCTACCCAGGCACAGACACCTGAGAATCAATGCAGCAGGCCCCTTCCCCAGAAGACTAGCTGGAAGAACAGGGGAAGAGCCAGTTTACTGACCAAACAGCCTGGAAAGCTCCAGGAATGAGGGAATATAGTATACAGAACTAGAGGGTTTTTTCCTTATAATTCATTTCTCAGGTTAAAAATTTCCAGTATTTTTTTCTCTTTTCTTGCCTTAACTACAATATTTTACCAACTCTTCATTCTTAAGCCTTTTCCTTTTTGACTTTCCTATTTCTACAATTACATGTCTTAGATATATTCTTCATTTTTGGATTCCCTTCAACGTATTCATTTTAATTTTGGTAGATATATGAGTTATGAGTTTTTGTTTTTTTGGTTTTTGCTTTTTCTGTCTTGTTTTGTTTTATAATGGTGGAAGTTAGTACCTTCTAATGCACAGACCAAAATACACCTAGAACCAAGTGGAACACCATGTTGGTTCATTCTGTGAGACTATATTCTCTCCTCCTTCCCATTCTGCCTCTCTCTTTTATCTTGTTTCTATTTTTGTGGTTGATGTTGGGTCTCTATATAAGTTTTCCTGGTTTATATAAATTGGAATTGAGCATCTTCTAACATACAGAACAAAATACACTCGGAACCAAGAGGATCACCCTCTAGGTCCCCTCAGTGAAACTATATTCTCTCTCCACCATAACTTCCTCATCACCCCTTTTTTCTTCTTTTTTCTTTGTTTTTTGTTTTTTTATTCTTACTTTTTTAAAAAAAAAATTTTTTCACTTTAGCGGTTCTTTTATTTTGTTCTGTTCCTTTTCTTTTATTTTCTGGTCTCTGACCTCTTCAGAATTGTCTAGGATGTATTTTACTTAGGTCATGGTTGATATTTTGTACTCTGCTCACTCATACAGCCACTCTACATGGCACAAAATGACTAGAAGGAAAAATTCACCACAAAAGAAAGAACCAGAAGTAATACTCTGCCACAGACTTGCTGGATGTAGATTTAAATACCATGTAAAAGATATAATTCAGAAGTACAATTATAAAATTACTAGTGTCTCTGGAAAAAAGCATAAAGAACCCTAGAGATTCTCTTGTTACAGAATTGAGACCTACCAGGCCAAAATTAAAAATACTTTAACTGAGATGCATTCTAAACTGGATGCTCTAACTGCCAGGGTTAATGAGGTGGAAAAGAGAGAGTCTCATAGAAGACAAGTTGCTGGAAAGGGAGGAAGCTGAGGAAAAAAAGAGAAAACAAGAGCCCATGAGGAAAGGCTTAGGGGGAAAAAATGATGGCTTGAGAAGGAATAATATTCATCTTATTGGGATTCTAGAAGAGGGAGAGGGAGAGGCAGAGAGAGAGAGAGAGAGACAGAACCACAAAGTATATTTGAACAAATCCTAACTGACAACTTTCCTAATCTGGGGAAGGAAACAGGCATTCAGATACAAGAGATAGAGAGGATCCCCCCCTCCAATCAACAAAAACCATTCAACACCTTGACATTTAATAGTGAAACTTGCAAATTTCAGAGATAGAGAGAATTCTAAAGGCAGCTTGAGACAAGAGATTC